CCCCCCCCCCCCCTCAAAAATCAAATGGTCCGCCCCTTAATGTCTATATGACTTGTACTTGTTCATGTTACTAGTGGAGATTACAGAATACTCTAAATAATTTCAATCCTATAGTTATACGATGCTTACATGCAATTTTGTATTTTTATGTTTTCACTTGTCAGATTTGAAAAAGATGATATGCCTTGTCTTCATAATGCTTTAAAAATCCCACAAACCTACATTGGTTATCTGGGTTCTTTCTTTACTGGAATGGAAGAATATGCTGCTACGTCGATTATCATATCCTAATAGATGATGTGATCTTATCTATTCATTTGGTAGAACAGAGGCTAAACTTGGCTGAATTTGTTTGGAATATTTTCTGGCTAGAAATCTAGAACTAGTACAAATAATATATGCACTAATATAGAAACAGTGCCAGGCCGAGCGAATGCACTTAAATATATCATCTCATTGCTTGGTTAGCTACCTTTGTTCCATTGTCTTTTTACATTATAGCTATATATAGGCATGCCAGTTATCTCAAAATTTACTAATTCTCAAGACATACGCTAAACATGTATTGACTGAATAGTTCTGTATACATTGTAGTCACTACGCGTATTCTAACTGCCAATACTGTAGCTGTTGTAAATATGGGAATCACGGAACCTATACACATAACAATGTCATCTGCTGGCAGTGTTAACATCTGCTAACTATATACGCTAACTTGCAAACTATGTACCTACCTGTATACTGCGGTCCCCTCACATCGCCGATATAGTAAATCGTTAGAATTGTACGAAATTTTCCCCACAGTAATATTTAAACCAGACAAACCTAAAACAATAAAGCTTCTATTAAGGTAACCAATTTTAATATGAACAAACATAGTTTTTAGTTGTATTAACTGTGGAACAAACGCCGCCAAACCATGCTTTATTTATTTATCCAGTCTTAAAGAAGCATTTCAATTTAATAATGAAAGACATAATACTTACAATCTTAGAAATAGGGATAATAATTTCGCACCACCTATGCCAAAAAAAGAATTCGGCAAGAGGTGCTTCAGTTGTAATGGGGCCTTGCATTGGAATAATCTTTCCCATGAGGCAAAAATTGCTGAATTCTTAAACTCTTTCAAATGGATATTAAAACAAATAATGAGTTGAAATTTGCTTGTGTGTAATCGTGCAGCTAAAATCACTTGTATTTTTTTTATTTGTATTTCTTGTAAATAGTTAATTTCTGGTAAATAGGTCATTTCACGCCCCTCATGGAAACCAGCCTTCCAACGGCTGTTCAGGCTAGCGTGGTTCAAATAAAGTTTTGTATGTATGTATGTATGTATGTAAGTAATATTATGCTAAACCAAAAATCACTTTGAGGTCCTCACCATCATCGTTACTCGCACTTATGTTATCTCGTTCTGATGTGCTAGAAGTAAAACCAGCATGCATTGGGTAAACATCCAATTCTCGTCTTCATCATGTAAGATATAAACACCGAGCGGAATAGAAGTTTTCACGCATATAGATCCGGAAGGCTACAGCACTGACCTCAAAACTAGGACTGGATAGAGGAACTTTTTGTACATTCAGCTTACCGGTGTATGCTGAATATACCTGGCAGTTTTATGCTGAAAAAATACTTAACTTACTAAACGATCTCTTGTCGAGCATGGTAGGTATCTAATCCGAACGTTTGGATAGCAATTTTACAAGCGTTATCGAAATATTCAGAAAACAAAGCCTCCATCTTTAGTTTGTTGCTGGCGTGTTAAATCATAGCAATGGTTAATCGTCACAATAGCGCAGACGGCAAACGGTTTATTTAAAAAGTCGTAGGGCCAGCGACGAGAACCCCTGGGGCTTCGGTGGCCAAGTGGTTAGCGCACTTGCCTTTCACCTCTGAGGCTGCAGGTTCGAGTCTCACTAAGTACCTTCTCAATGCGACTCGAACCCAGTCCCCATGTGAAAAGAGTAAAAGTCAACGCTCTGCCGAAAGCCGTGGGTTTCCCCGGGTACTCCGGTTTCCTCCCACAGGGAAAGTTGACAGGGTTGGTTAGGTAAAAAGGGCCCACAGTAATTGGCATATGCTGTTGTGGTGACCCTGCCCTAGTTGGCAAAGCTAAATAAAAAAATAAATAAAAAAATAAATAAAACCCCAACGACTGGAATCCACGCAGAAATGTTCAGGGTGTACTGGTATTTAATCAGTCAATAATTCAGTGGTAGTACCTAACAGTAAATTTGCGTGGAATGTCCCTGGGACAAGACCATGCAGGGAATAATAATGTCATGCACCTATCAATGCGAGTTAGAGAGAGTGATGGGCTCTGCGGTATTATGCAGTGGCCCTGTAAGATAGGGGAAAAGAGAGTGTTTGTACATACACACATATTCAATTAATGCTGGAATTGGTAGAAAACAGTCAATGGCATTACCATGACTATGTGTCACCAGCACTTAAAATAGAGCTGCTCCTGAGTGATCGATTATTTTTGTCTTAGGGACCTTATTTCACCTTATATTAAAAACTCATTAAGAGGCTGTCTCTGTAAGAACCTGGCACCCAGTTCTGGAAGGAAATATGAAAGTCTTCAATTTTTTCACAATAATTTTCCTTTCAGGTACTTGTATGAAAAAAGAAATCAGTTTGCGTTAAAAACTTTTTTTAAAAGCTATTTTACATCGATATTTTACACCTTGACGGGTCCAAAATGGCGGCATGAAACTGCCGTAAATAGCAGATTTTCGTACGACTCTCGGGAAGGAAGCAGGTAAGTGAGAGTCTGATATATCAAAATATTATAACAATCAGTGCTTATAGTTTCTTACAACAAAAAATCAGACACATCTATCCAGGATTTGAGGAGAAATAATTTTCTGAAAAGATACACTTTTACTAGTTTGCAAAGTCACACATTATAAGACAAATTAAATAGCAATTTTCGTAAGTTTGGCACCTTATACCAAGTACACATTACTACCATTGTAAACTTAGAGTTGTGTTTTTTTAACGGGAAACGTAAAATATTTGGGCACTTGACGGGCATAGCCACAAATCATCTACAAAGTTTGATAATTTTCCTGTAATTGACGACGCATGCGTTGCTAACGTAATTTTTCTTGAAAACCCTCACCCAGCAACATTGCTTGAAAAATAACTTTAAAGTCAACTTTTATTTTGCTTTTGTTTATTAAACGTTTCGCAATTAATACGCAAATATTTTTCTGTCGCGCTTGGTCATTTATTTTTGTGTTTATTTTTACCGGTGGTTCTATGTTCATTGCAGGGGCGTGCTCAAGTTATGAATATCTTGAATCTATTAGCAAACGGCTTGAAATATCGATCGGCGAATACAGGCATTTGTTGAAACTGTAAAACTTGTAGCAATCTTTATATCCTTTCATAAACAAAGATTACAATTCTGTAATTAAGTTGCTATATTAAATCAATGTAAAAATTTTTCCTACATGCTAATTAGTCGAGCATTGTCAGAAACTGGAAAGTGTCAATTTCTCTGCTGAACATTTTGACGCGGGGTATATCAATGAATAAACAATCGCTTTCTTATTAGTAATAATTAGTATTTTTGCACAAGTGAACATAAATCCTACAAGTCGATTGGTCAAATGTGACGTATTAAGCTGTTATATTCACCTACAGGTGAATATAACAAAACCGAAATTTACAAAATGGCGGCTAGCCGTTTTGTGGAAGTTACTGATAAAGAAATTAAGCGAAATTAAAATAAATTCAGTCCTAAAAACACAAAAGGCGTGTGTAAAAATACTAAAACAATTGTTCGCCTCAGGCTCAGTGATTATCGGGGAATATTCACCTCTTATAAACACACGCCTATATTATATATCACCAACTTTTGGCATTCGTCTAAAGACAAGCACAAATTGAAAATTGTAATCATGGCACTGTTCGTGGCAACAAAGCTACTTAGCTACAACCCTACAACTCTACAGCTCTACAGCTCTAGTGCTCTACAACACTACAGCTCAGTCTACCGGCCTACAACTCTACAGCCCTGCGCCTTTACAACTCTACACCTCTACAGCTCTACAGCCCTACAACTCTGCAGCCTTAGAACTCTAGAGCTCTACAGCCCTACAAATCTAGAGCTCTATAACTCCACAATTCTACAGCGAGCTCTAGAACTCTACAACTCTACAGCTCGAAAACTCTACCGCTCTACAACCCTACAACTCTACAGCCCTATTTTATGGATTTCTTTTGCAAGCTTTAGCTGAACAACATGGGAACCTTTCACTTTTTTCTTTTTGCATGGATGAGTTGGATACTGACACGAACGAAGAGGACGCCATTCCTTCCCCAATGCGTGACGAGGGCAAACCCCCATCTTCTCCAGTTGACTCCGGAACATCAAACAATCCAGCCCTGGCTAAGGGTAAGTAAGGGACGGACCGTTAGATATTTGAGGGGTTGGGAAACTTTTCTGTGCACGAATTCTTTTTCACCCCCAACTGCTTGCAAGAATATTTTTTCTGCACCATTCCTTTGCACGATATTTTTTTTAGAGGTGACCTAAAAATTTTTGTCCCGGAAAGTTCGTCGACGGGGGGGGAAGCATAAATGTTTCGAAAAACACCAATTTAATGTTTTAAAACAATTGCATTACGATTTTAAAAATTTGCCCTAGTTCTTGCTCGATTTTTTTTTCAATAGGTTTGTTGTGCACGATATTTTCTTCTGAAATTTTTCTGTTCGCGAATTTTTTTGGTATTTGCCCCCCCTCCCAACTCCCCCCCTCAAATATCTAATGGTCCGTCCCTAAGATTAATTCATACTCTTCGATATTTTCCCAAGACAAGTGGCAGCTTGAAAGATGCTCGCGAATATCGTCTTTACATTTTGTCAACATGACATTCTCCACACTCACAAATGACTGTCGCATTCAGATTTTATACGAGTGGAAAATGAACACATGGAAGACATCTTTAAAACCGAATCCGCATGCCAGCCAAATATTAATCTTCAAGTCACTAAAACGTTCAAGCCAATGCCAAAAGTTGGTGGAATATATAATATGGGCGTGCGTTTATAATTATTATTATTAAGAAAGCAATTGTTTATTGATATACCCCGCGTCAAAATATTCAGCTGAGAAATTGACACTTTCCGGTTTCTGACAATGCTCGACCTAATTAGCATGTAGCATAAATTTTTACATTTATTTAATATAGCAACTTAATTGCAGAATTGTAATCTTTGTTTATGAAAGGATATAAAGATTGTTACAAGTTTTACAGTTTCAACAAATGCCTGTATTCGCCGATCGATATTTCAAGCCGTTTGCTAATCGATTCAAGATATTCATAACTTGAGCACCTCCCTGCAATGAACATGGACCACCGGTAAAAATAAATACAAAAATAAATGAACAAGCGCAACAGAAAAAATATTTGCGTATTAATTGCGAAATGTTTAATAAACTCGAAAGCAAAATAAAAGTTGACTTTAAAGTTATTTATTTTTTCAAGCGAATGTTGCTGGGTGAGTGTTTTCAAGAAAAATTACTTTAGCAACGCATGCGTCGTTAATTACAGGAAAATTATCAGGAAATTTTGTAGATGATTTGTAGCTATGCCCGTCAAGTGCCCAAATATTTACGTTTCCCGTTAAAAAAAACACAACTCTAAGTTTACAATGGTAGTAATGTGTACTTGGTATAAGGTGCCAAACTTACGAAAATTGCTATTTAATTCATCTTATAATGTGTGACTTTGCAAACTAGTAAAAGTGTATCTTTTCAGAAAATTATTTCTCCTCAAATCCTGGATAGATGTGTCTGATTATTTGTTGTAAGAAACTTACCTGCTTGCTTCGCGAGAGTCGTACGAAAATCTGCTATTTACGGCAGTTTCAGGCCGCCATTTTGGACCCGTCAAGGTGTAAAATATCGATGGGCCAAATTTTACAAAAAAAGCTTTTTAACGCAAACCGATTTCTTTTTTCATACAAGTACTTGAAAGGAAAATTATAGTGAAAAATTTGAAGACTTTCGTATTTCCTTCCAGAACTGGGTGCCCGGTTCTTACAGAGACAGCCTCTTAACAATTCAAATCACTACCCTGTCGGTGGTTTTATATGTGATAAAAAATCTTTACATAAACTTTAGCTTTGAATTTCTCGGCTCAGACAACGTTTATTTTTAAAATTACTTCGCCAATGAACTCTTTAGATGGTTCGTTTTTTAAGCCATTTAAAACACTCGCTGTCCGTGCTTTATCAGATATAAAACACTCGAACTGCGCTCTCGTGTTTTAGATTTGATAAAACACTCCTACTCGTGTTTAAATAGTAGTACTACTTAATTTGCGATGTATTTTGCTGTCACTTGTAGACTGAATGTCTGTCATTTTGTGGTTATGTAGCACACCTACTTAAGGTATATACATCTACACACGAAAATCTTAGTCTGACGTCAACTATACACTGAATATATGTTCCGCAAGTACTATAGCTATAATGTTGGAGATTACCACTCTTGCGCGCAGGTGACTTTGTTGGCTGCGAGCAAGGGAATATGGATTTGTATGGGATCGAGGTTTAACAAAAATTCATGCCTGTTGAATGCATAATTCCATTTAAAATATACGTAATAGCATTCACATGTTGCTCTTCAGGACCATTTTTAACTATACAAAATAAAATTTAGAAGCGAGGTTTGATAGTATATTCCAGACCCTATAGATCTGAGTTGTGACACGGCTTGGCTAAACAATTGCAGTGATCGAGTGGTGGTGTTTCGATTACCTAAACATACCATGCAAGTACTTTAACTGAAGATTCAGTTTATCTACAGTATAATGCAACGCTGAATATCGAAAAATCTGTTGCAGAAAATGCACGAAATGCAGTCCAAGGGGTAGAAAATTACAACACTTTTTCTGGGGGGAGAATGCCGTCAGACCCCTTCCTGTTACATACGACCTTTTTTCACCAACAACTATCGGTCATCTCTCCATATATACTAAGTATATAGTATATGGTCCTTTTCTGTAGATGCCCCCCCCCCCGCATGACACTGACTATTCCTTAAAAAAGGCCCTAGTGTTGCTCTTTTCATTTCTGATATTTATAGAGTGCTAACATAAAATACATTAAAATGACTCGGCCTAATCAATGCCTCAGATTGCTTGCTTGAACATTAACTATAATTTTTTTAGCGTCCAAGCCTTCTAAATGTAATGATAATTTCGTCACAATACTATGTCAGAAGCGTTCTTCCAGCACATTTCGTAGAATGCCCAATAACCCAATTCAGAGTTCAGACTGCGCATCCAAATGACGCGTTCTGTGTCGGGATGGATTGCAGTTGAATCATAACATGTAGCTGAGACTGGAAACATTAAATATATGCATGTCAAAGTATCCAACCTTTCACTCATTATTTTTGTTTTACTTATACCTATACAACAGAACTGGCATTAGATAATTTTTGTACTAGCATATTTTGTCTTCTTTGAAAGCAAGATAGAGAAATTTAAAGATGTTAGATGCGAAACCAGGATTCATATTAAGGGTTTCAAACGTTCACTGGTTAAAAATATTTATTTGGACGAGCTTTCGACTGCCAGTCTGCAATCTTCGACGGGTAGATTACCACTTTAATCTATCCGTCGAAGACTGCAGACTGGCAGTCGAAAGCTCGTCCAAATAAATATTTTTAACCAGTGAACGTTTGAAATCCTTAAAATAGAGAAAGGTACATTTAATTTGAACTAGTCAACCGCGTGGAAACTAATTGCTTTTTGAGCAACTTTGCATATTCACTAAGAGATAAGATAAGATAGTTTTATTAAATGATAGTTACATTGCAGGTACTACTGAATTGCGTAACTTTACAATTATATAAAAGTCGTTCAATATAGATATAATAATACATAAGAATACTAAAATTTATCTTAATTTACGATTATGTACAGTTAAACTACTAACTATATACAAGTATTGAAATCACCATTTCACTATATGTCATCATAAAGCTTACTACTATGCATTATGAATGACTGAGCATAGCGCTTGGTCTTTGCAGTTGGAATATTAAAAGTTCTACGTTTCCTAAAATAATATTTGGCATTGTTATTTCTCTGCGGTAGTAGAGCATGCAGTTTGTTTTTAGAGTCACTTACAATTGACCTAAAGAGTGATTTAGATAAAGATTCGTGGTGATCATGTATAGATGCTAGGCCAGCGAGCGATAGGGCGTCTTCGTAACGCCTTCCTGGGTAAATGCAGGCTAGTGCTCTTTTCTGAATCCTTTCCAGATCTTCTTGGAGATATTTTGGAAGTGAGTAGTGGAATACAGGGCATGCGTAATCGATTGCAGAACGGATACATGCACAGTAATAGGCGACTATTTCTCTTGCTGGGACTTTCGCTCTCTTAAGCTGCACAAGAAAATACTGCTTGCGAGATGCTTTCTTTACTATTTCCTCGATATGATCATTCCACGTAAGGGTGCTGTTAATTGTTACGCCGAGTAGCTTTACCTTGCTCACTGGGATAATGGTGGACCCCTCAACATTGACTGGAGATGGCAAATTCCGAGACCGACTGAAGGTAATAGGTAGGAAGGTAATAGGTAAGAGTTGCATATTCTAATTCTTCCAATCTCAGCTACATGTTATAGTTCAACTGGAATTTATCCCGACCCAGAACGTGTGATTTGGATGCGCAGTCAAGGAAATGGCTTATTTGCAGAGCGGTTAACATTTTCTCCCAAGAAAGTGTAGACGTGTACGGACGTGTGCTTTTTTGCTCCAATCATGACATCTGTTAAGAATATTTTGTACCGTAACTTTTGCTTAGCGAAGAACAAACTGAAATGGTTAGGAGCGCTAGAAGACTTGAAAGCATTTGTGTTAACGGAGATTGACGAAGATACAGCAGAAAACACAAACTGGCGACCTCCTAGCGGCGGAACTTGGAAATTTGAAAGTGAGTTACTGGCTGTTACATGGCAAACCAAAAGTATGAATACATCCTTTGAAGGAGAAAAGGGCAAAGACCTGACTGAACGAGTAATTTCAAATCTGAAGGAAGAAGGTGTGAAAGAACACAACAGCATCGCCTTAGCTCAAAATGACACGGAGGACGACGATGCGATATAACAACTGTCGAATGTGAAACAACCGCTCAGGTAGTCTGTAACGAACTCCCTACTGAGGTAAACGAGATTAAATTAAAACTAAACCAAGATATTGTCGAAACGAAAGCAAAGCTTCAACAAATAAAGGAGAACTTTGCCGAACAGCTTGATCTGCTAAAAGAACTGAGTTTGATTGGTGGCACTAAAGTTACTGAATATTGTCTAACAAGCCTAGAATATGAAAACGCTACCCTTAGACATGAAAATACGCAACTTATAGGCGCGAAAACGACTCCTTGAAAGAAAGGTTTAACAATCATTCTTATATGGTATCGGATCTAAATACGAAAATCAAAAACATTGAAGATGAGAAATTGAGTCTAGTCACTGCCCTTAGGCTGCTGCAAGAAAGCAGCAAATCTACAGGGTGTATAAAAAAAAAGGTAATCGAACTTCAGCGCGCTATTGTATCTGATTTACTCTAAGTATGAACGCGATTTTTTCGCATTCGGAAAGATCATGCTATTAGCTGTTAAATGACATCTTCTTCATGCCAAATGGATAAAAAATGAGCAAATACGAATCCGATAAAAAATCTTAGTCAGAATCGCATATTTTCACCGTTGAGAGTTAGGTCTAAAACCATTGAAAATGAATTCCCTTTAGGACTTAAGTTGACGAATTTCACTTCATTAAACTGCACACATAGTCATAATCTTAGCTAAGCTACGACACGTTCGTGATTAATTGCTTTTTTCTTTTGTTATGCATTGTTTTAATTAGGCACAGAGGTAAAAATATGCGATTTTGACTAACATTTTTAATCGGCCTCGTACATGCTTATTTTTTCTCCACTTGGTATAAAAAGCATGTCATTCAATAGCTAAAAGCCTGATCTTTCCGAATATGAAAACCAATTGTTCATACGCAGAGTAATTCACGTATAATAGCGCGCTGAAGTTCGATTACCTTTTTTTGATACACCCTGTATATCATTAAATAACAGAGATGCAATACACAATACATGGCATACCCCAGGGCACAGAGCGAGAACTAATGTACATAATATTTCTGCTAATTATGCATGCCAAAATAAAACTGCTCGATCTGCAGCTGATATGAATGCTCAAGAACCGAACATAATAAGGCCAAATTGATTCGGTCTCCTGTCCACAGAACATGACTCAGATAAAGAATCAGAAGCTAATGACGAAATTGACCCGAGTGAATCTAGCACTTCGACTATTAGACAAAGTAGGTCAAGTAATTTAAACATGGATTCGAACAAACACGATAGAAAACAAAGGAGAAAAGAAAGTCAATCAACCCAAACTTCTATTGAATTTTCCAAGGGCAAGGCCAAAACCAACAATAGAAAGCATACAATAAATGCAAATTCAAACGATTTATTTCGAACAGGATCAAAGAATAATAAGTCTGGTAAACTTGTTTTCATCGCCGGGGACTCAATTCTACAACATGTTCACGGCTGAGACTTGTCTAATGATAAACAACGTGTATCTGTAAAGTCCTTTTCAGGGATTAAAGCTGAAGATATGCAAGATTACATCAAACCATTACTACGCAAAAAGCCCGACGAGATAATATTGCATGTAGGCACTAACAATATTAAAGATAACTCCAGGACGACAGAAGTGGTTTCTGCGGGTATCTTAAACCTCGGAACCCAAATAAAGGATAGTCTACCATGCACTAACGTATGTATATCGGGCATTATTACCAGGAAAGATAAAGCTAATATCCAGAATAAAATTAAAACTGTAAATGACATTCTTAAACGGATCTCTGACCAAAACAAATGGACCTATATAGACAACACTAATTTAGATTATACTTGCCTAAATAGAGGTGGCCTACATTTAAATAGAAAGGGTAGTAGCACTCTTACTAGAAATTATAGTAATCACTTTAGTCGTAATTGAAATAAGGCATGGCCAGGTGCTGTAAAGTATGCTCAATTTAACCCATATTTTCCTGATTTCAAGGGTTTCAAAATGGGTATGCTTAACATAACCAGTTTACCTAAGCATATTGACGAAATTAGGATCATATTAGCCGATGAATGTCTCGATATTCTTGCATTAAATGAGACAAGATTGGCTGATACTATTAATAACCAGGATATGTACATAAGTAATTATGATCTTATTAGGGTCGATCGTTCTAGAACAGGGGAAGGCGTCTGTTTATATGTGAAAACTTCCCTTAACTATTTAGAACGAAAAGATCTGACCAGAGATAATCTTGAAGCTGTATGTGTTGAGATTCGCAAACCTTGCAGTGCACCATTTATTGTCGGTACTATTTGCAGACCTCCAAGTGCTTCTGTTGACCCTTTTGCCACAATTGAGAAATTAGTAAAAACAATAGATAATGAAAATAAGGAATTTTACATACTTGATGACTTAAATGCTAACATGCTTGACACCTCAAACAATGCCACAAAGAATTTAAATTCAATCATGGAATTATATCAATTATCGCAAACGATAAACACACCCACCCGTGTGACCACGACCTCATCCTCCCTAATAAACGTTTGTCTTACTCCCACTCCAACAAAGTTAATAACATCACAAGTAATACCAATTGCCATTAGTGATCATTACATGATCTTCGTTCTTCGTAAAATAAATATCCAGC